CGGCCCAGGACAGCGGTAGAGTCACCATCCCTGGTAGTGTTCAAAAACCAGGTAGATGAGGCCCTCAGTGACATGGTTTAGTCGTGGCCTTGGCAGTCTGGGGGCAATGGTTGGACTTGATGATCTTAAAGTTCTTTTCCAACCTACTTGATTCTATGATTCTCTTCTAAGGGGACTCACCTGCCCTGCTTGGGGCTGGCTCCTGCCCTGCTCTGACTTCTCCTCCAGGGGGGAGCTATGAAGACACCAAATAACCTCACATGAACGCAGCAAAACTCCCCCGCAAGCTCTCCAGACATCTCCCCCATGTCCCCTTCCTACAAGGACATCCCTGCTGCCAACCCAGACTGGTGGGAAGGGCAGAGCTTCTTTCCTCAGGCCTAGAGGGAAACCCAGGAGGATCATTTTCCCCAGCCTCAGAAGGACAGTTGTGGTGTTGCCCATCACCATCACCATCGTTTTGTGTTGACCTCAGGCACCTACACACTGCTACATGCCTGGGAGCCAGCAGCAAGCAGGGTGGGTGGCAACTCATTCAAAGCCAAAAGCATAACTCCAGGGTGCTGCTGGGCTTTGGGGCTTATTCAGGGGCTTAGACCCTCAGTGGTCACCAAAGAGCAAGGAAGGGTTGGGGAAGATGATCGTGGTATGGCTGAAGGAAAATGTTTTCCCACCATGCAAAAGAACAGGCAGCAGGTCTTTCCTCACAGCAAGATCCATGTGATTCCAGCTGCCTGGAAAGGCCTGAGGACTATGAGATACACCCCGTCACATCCCCTGCAGCAGTGGGACCCCGGTGCAGTGAGCAGTGCAACCAACAGCAGGACCTCACCCACATCCTGCCCTGCTCCCCGCTGTTGCCTGATCCCAAATCCTTGCACCCATTCCCCCTTCTCCTTCCTCCAGGTCCTGGAAAACCCTCCATAACTAAAATCCTCCCCTCACCACCACCACCTCCCTGTCAGGGATGGACTCTGCAGAGCTCACCGTCAATGCACAGGTTTCAGTGTTATCAGAGCTGGAAAGAAATAACCTCATATCACATTTAGTGCACATCTCCCAGAGGAAGCATCTTGAGATGTGCAAATCACAGACAGTTTGTGGCCTGCACCAATGAAACCAGAACACTTTACAACAGACAGAACTTGAGTTACAGTGGTGGTAGCCCCCAGTAATGTCACTTCAGCCTTCCCTGTTACTCCCCAGTTGGTTCATTATTATTAATGTCACTACAATAAATACCAGAACAAAATGGACAGTGTTTGGCCACGTATCTTAAAGCATTGCCCCACTCCTCCTTCAATCCATGCCTTTGCAGCCTTGGTTTTCATCCCTGTCAGTCATCAGAGGAGGCCTTAGGGACAAACCGTTTGACTATGTGACCAGCCAGGTAACAGAAGCCGTGCAGGATGGTGGCTGTGGCATCAATGACCAGCGAGAAGGTGCCCCCGATCCCGTTGGCCATGTCTTTGAGGACAGAGGGAATGGCACAGATGGAGTGGTAAGGGAAAGCAGCGAGGTGAAGGACAAACCCCACGGGGATGCGCAGGATCCTGTAGGTGAGGGATGCCACATCTTCAACAATTTGCAGGAAGCCCATGAAGATGTTGACGATGACCCTCCCCACATCATAAGGAATGCTGATGAGCACCATGGTGATGTTTTTAAGGTAGGACACCACCCCGTTCCACAGGTTGCAGACTCCATCCAGAACTGTACCACAAACCCGCTTGATAACAAGCCACAGAAAATAAAACACGAATTTCACCAGCTCCACAAACACGTAGATGAGGAGTTCCAGAAGTTTGATGAAAGGGGCAGCGATGATGCCAGCCACTCTCCTCACCAACCCCCTCTCCGTGGCATCCTGGCTGTCACTTGCTCTCACTTGCTCTCCAGAGCGGATCTGGCTGACAGCTTGCAGTATTGCTCTTGTTTTCTCCTGGCTTTGGTTGTCCTCCCCACAGCTGCCCTTGAACAAGTGAACTCCTACTAGAAGCTCCTTCTCCAGCTCTCTCACTGTGAGGTCTGCGAAGCTGCTGTCATCATTCGTGGTTTTCACTATTCCCAGGGACCATCCCTCCGGATCATCGCAGCAGGCTGCCAGCCACAGCGTCTCTGGCACCGACAGCTTGCCTTTAACCCGGGCACGGGAAGGAATTGCCCCTGCAAGGAGATACAGGTGATCCTTCTTGGAGCAGTGAGGGACCAGAGCTTGCTCCACCACCCTCCCAATGTCTCTGTGCCAGCTTTTGCTCAGAGATGGGCTCAGAGGGACGGCGTTTGTGAGCGTGTAAGTGGCCATCTGGAAATCCTCCTCATTGAGCAGGCTGGGATTGAGCAGCCCTCTCTCATAGCCAGAGCCCACATAGTCTGAGGTCAGGGCTTGGTTTGCACCGAGGTTGGCCACAGTGCCAGCAACATCAGCTTCATGCACCATCTCCTGCAGGTCATTTTCTGGGTCATCTATCTGAAATAGTAGAGAGAAGAGTTACTGGATGCAATTTGCCTTATTAGAAAGCAACATGTAAAATGGGCCTTGAAGTGTATTTTCCATTATGATTGCTCCTACACATCGTGCCTTCAACTACATCCTGTCCTGCTCTCCCTCCTTATTTTCCTTGTGGCACCTCAGAGGAGCTCATGATCTACTTAGCTGCTCTGTCAAACACATTAGTTTAGGCTGCAAGGGGTCCTTGCAGCTCTGCAGTCTGGCCTGCAGCACAACACAACCTCCAGAATCCCACCAGCCACCCTGCACCAAGCCTCTAACTTGTGCAAAGAGATTTTTAAGACCAATAGATGCTTGATTTAGGGCCATGTTCTCACTTCCTGTGGGGGTAGTACCTCCAAGTTCATTTAGGTACCTACTGTGGCACCTCAATTCAGTCCCTCTGAACTATTAAATCCAAACCCTGAAGGAAAAACCCCACGGTATATCAGACACCTACTGAAGGCGTTGACTCTCACCACTGTGTGTAAGAAGTCAGAATGAAGCCAGGCACCACGGCAGGTGACCTCAACTCCCCTGCCTTGAACACAGACACAGCAACAAGCTCCCAGGGCTCTCCCAGGGCTTGTCATTAGTAGTCTGAACCTCATCGTTAATGAATGCACAGCTCCTGGCATAACATGGTGAGGATGCCATCACCACAGGTCCTTGGTGGAGGCTGTGCTACCTGCTTGTGTCTGCCATTCCCATGCTGTGGAGCCACAAGTGGCAACTGCTGCAGCGGGAATTCGTCCTGGAGTCCTGCACAGAGCTGTGCACAGGGAGGTAACACACAGTGGGAGCAGGAGCACTGAATGCCAGGGCACGCTCAGGTCTTTCTTGGGTGGCCACAGCTCTGTCTGCTCCTTAGTCACTCCTGTTGACACTGCCTGCAGCAGCACCAGGGGGTGTGCCAGATCATTGTCATTTTCCTCCCCAAATTAGAGGGTGAGTGTGTTGGTACAAACTCGGGGCTGACAGACGGTGTCTGGCCTTGGTGCCTCCTGTAGTCTCTAGTTCAAAAGCTGTGGCCCTCAGCTCCCAGCACTGTGCTGGCCCCATTAAACCTGCTGCCTTTGCCCCTGGTCTGTAAACTCTTTACTGTGCTATATAACACGTACTTTGGAGACATGTGTGGCAGAGAGTTCATAGTTTACCTTGAATCACTCCCCAGTCATCCTTCCTCGTCCCTTGGGCACCCTGCAGTGCCCTTGGACAGATGTCCAGCTATGTCCTTACGACCTTACCCAGTGTCTGCATCCCTTAGTGCCGCACCGCCTGCCCGCAGCTCTGTGCCAGCCTGTGCTGAGAGTGAGGGTGACAGGGCCAGTGCCAGCGAGTGTCAGCAGCTATCCATCACTGAGCTCTGGCTGGCCTCCTGCATCAGCTAAACCCCTGCAGTCCCGGCCCAGGGCTCCCTCTGTGCCAAGGCTGGTCACAGTGCCCACACGGGCCATTGCAGAGGGCTGCATTACCCCCATCTCCTGCTAAAGAGGTTTCTTGAAGCATCTGATGCTTATTGCTTCAGGACTGGAAGGATCACAGCAAGCCCTATGTGCTGAGGCACAAGTCGTAGCTTTTTCTAAATACACCACTTAAAAAGACTTAAGTCTTTTACCCTGCTCTGCCTCTGTTTTGTTCTGCTCCTCTTGCTCAGGCACCCCAAACTCGCAGGCTGCAGCTGGCTGATGAGGCCAGACATTGTGTTCCACAAAATCACTGTCCCTTCCTGACCCCCCAAGCCCTTCTCCCTGTTCTGATGAGATGACCATGATGTGCCTTGGGACAGGAGGTGCACCCGCTGTGTTTAACCCTGCAGTACCAGTGAGGGGGGAGCAGGCACAGCGCAAGGCTGTGCCTGGGAATTGCCCTCCATGCTATTGCCCTTCCAAGCCTGACACCCCTGCAGACACTCATCCCCTCTCACTCCCACAGCATTGCTGCCATGCCACGAGGACACTTAGACCCAAGACAGGTCAGCTCTGCCTCCTGGCAGGGATCCCCAGCCTACAGGAAGCATATGGTATAAACTTAATTTTATCTCTTTATGAGCTGATGCGTGCAAACCTTGAGGTGCCTATCAGGAAAATATGTCTCTGGTTACCTGTTCAGCTGCAGGCTTTTGCACATACCATTGGGAGTGTTTAGGTGCAATTAAAAAAGAACATGATAAAAATGCTCTTCATGTGTAAGGCTCTGACATCACCCAGTTGTGTTTATAATAACTCATATAATGGTTTGTAATAACTCATGTGTAACTGAGGTTTTCATGCCTCCCCCAGCTCAGCCCCAAAGGCAAGCTGCCTCCAGCTCTGCATCTAATCTGCATTGCAAGCTACCTTTCCTCACTGCTTCAAAAAGCTTTTGGTTTGTGTCAGTGCCAAAGCACATCTTCATTCACGGAGTCAGCCGTGAGGCCATCTGTCCAAACAACCTGGAACAGCCAAGGGCAAGATCCAAGCAGACAGGTAAACACCTCATTCACTGCATGGGATGGAGAAATGAATTATGCATCTGAACACCTGTATGGATGTGAGCACCTATAACTCATATATCAATGTGTTTCACAAAGTGAGGCTTGCAGTTCCCAGGCAAAGTCTGAGAGGTATTAAAAGTTTGGCAACACGCAGTTATTAGGGCAGGCAGCTTCCATCAGGTTTGGTCACAGGACCAAGGCAGGACGCTGTTACCTCCCACCTTCCCTGCACTAGTAGTTAGGATCCCAGGTGAACTTCAGCATCCCACTGCCCTCACTACTGCCTCAGGCACTCTTACGCCTTTGCTTCAGTGGAAACATTTCACTCAGCCTTAGTGTGGGACTCGTTTCTCAGGGAGGAGGCACAGTGCATCTTACACCAAGGTTTCTGTGGCTGGATGTGAGTGGCTCTAGAAGTACCTGTTCATCTTGACTGCCTACCAAGAGAGATGGCGAGAGCAGTTCAGGGGCAGCTTATTATATAGAGCTGAGCAATACAAGTCCCTCCTTGGTCATCTGGCTGGTGGTAGTCATCAACCAAACTAAAACACAAGGTGATTCACACAGCCCCTCATACATTAGGACAGAAAAGGCAACTCCAGAGTTTTCCGTCTTTCTCTAAGCTGCAGAGCCAAACTCGTAGGTTTCCACACCACCAAAATGAGATGAGGTGAAAGCCACCTAAAGGACTTGCTCTCCACCCCTAGGAAACCTGTGGCAAAGCAGGTTTCCACACCTGAGCCTGGGAGTCCCATCAGTATGCTGCTCATAAGCCTGCCATTACTGCTCTCCAATTTGTCACTAATTGCTGAAGTAATTGGCTGTTTCCAGCTGCCGATGGGCAGTGGGTGGCACTGACATTCCTCACCCTCCTCACCCAATTACTGCCTCAGTGCTACGTTTGGCATGTGCTTCTCAGGCAGACATTCCTGAGGAGGCAGGCGCGCAGGGAGGGAGATGGTGCCCTCACCACTTACATCACTACCCCAAAAAAAGCATGTGACAACCCCGAGGCCCTCCCCAGAGTGCTGAGTGTGTTTTAAAGTGATTTCTGTCCGCTTGCTGTGGTTCTGCATCTCCATGTGCATGCACGTAGGTGTGAGCACAAAGGGTATTGGTTGGACTTGATGATCTTAAAGGTCTTTTCCAACCTAGTTGATTCTATGATCTCCTGTGTTTATTGCCTGCAACTTCATGGCCTTAGCACCTCATCACCCCACACAAGGAAAATGACCACAGAAGCCATTCTCCTGGGACAGGGGTGAGCTTTGATTCTCACAGCATCCAGCACCTGAGGTCCCAACAGTCTGCTCTGATACTGCAGCCATTCCTGCCCTGACAAAGTGCCCTTGGATGCTGCCAGTCTTCCCTGAGCTCAACACGTAGGGATAGCTTGAAGTTTGCTACAAAATTCCCCATGACCACTGCTGGGAAATCTGAAACACGAGGGAAAAAGAAAGAGAAAATAAAAAGAGAGGTGAAGTGTACGTGTTATCTTAGGGCACAAGCAATTGTTTAAGGATTTCCCTGAAATTTAACAGCTTGAAGGACTTGCTAAAACTTGCCAAGTGCTGCCAGGGGGAGACAAAAACTACTGAGGATCCAACAAAGTTAACTTCTAGTGCACACTACTCACTCCAGGATATGGCAACTTGTTTCCCTACAGGAACGCACCAAAAAGCTGCAGCGTCAACTTGGTGAACCGCAAATGGATGTTTTATCCCTGTGCAGTGAAGCTAAAGCACTCTTATCGACACAGAAAGAACTCTTATCAACACTGCAGTCGCACTGGCAACAGAACGAACTTCTATTTGACGCTGCGATGGTTAACCCTGCTGCCCCCCAGCAGCGCTCCTGCCCGTGATGAGCTGGTATCAGAGACTTTCCTCTCTCCTGGCATTGCGTATCACAAGCAGCAGCCTCCCAGCTTTCATTATAAGCCCTGTGGGACAAGGAACTGTTTGCTCAGTTCCAAGCACAAAAGTAAGTTCTGCTTGTGTTAAATTCATATCCAAAGAAGTTCAACAAGCGAAGCTCCTTTGCAAAATCCCAGCTCCAGCTTCATCCCAGAGGAAACGTTCCCCCGAACGTTTGCTTTATAGTGACGGAAAAGCTGACTTACCTGCGGTTCCACCAGCCAGCTCTCCTCCTCGCTTTGGGCTGGCTTTGTGTACTTAAAAGCTGAATAAAGAGGGATTTTGTCCTTAGTGCTGTAGAGGGTTGCAAAGCGCGGCTCTTTGTTGTACTGCTGACAGATTTTCACGTGGAACGGCTGTGTAAACCCTTCGGGTGGGACTTGTCCAGGGAAGAACACGTTACACTCAGCAAACCCAGCTTCATCCCTTCCGACAACTCTGCCCTGGGAAAAGCCTGGGAAAACCGAGAGGCAGAGCAAAAACACAACTGACGTCTTCATGGTGCACTGCCTGGAGCCGACGGGAGCCCCGTCTGCCTGCGCTGGGTACGGCAAAGGAGCTGTGCCCCGAGTCTA